CCAATACCTCTTCCACAGGGAGGTTGTGAAGAGTTAATATTCCCAAAGCAACATTTTTACTGTCTGGCACATAACAAACAGGCAAAGTAAACGCAGTTACTTTCTCTGGTGATGTCGAGGTAAGAGCACGTGGTAGGGAAGAGTCCACACTCAACGCGCAGAATGCTCGGGTTCAAGGCATCCTCCCTCTCCTTGGTGATGACCTCATGCAGTTACTGACCTGCTCAGGGTCTCCGTTTCCTCACCAGAGAAGATGCGTGCCTGGCTCAGAATAAGGCCAACGTAGGCATGAGCTCTTAGTATTAGGAAACCTGAATTCAGTAAATTCATCTGACGTTTATTAGGACATTTGCTTACACACCATCGCCTCATTCCAACATCCTGTGGGTTTACTGCACGCAGGGGGCTTTGCCGAGGCTGGGTGTGCACACACGGTCTGTGTGCTGAGAAAACACCTACGCTCTGAGGAGACAGACCATAACCGTGGCTCACGGGATACGTAGTGTGTAAACAAGTTACTCTGCAAAGACGGGAAGGAAAATGACTAGCTGGCTCAGATAATCTAGGAGAACCTCCCAAAGCCTCCACCAATGCCACAAAAGGACTATCACTGATGAATGAGTGGCATCTTCCCAGGCAGGTAAACGGAGATAGGACATTCCAGGAAGAGGAAGCAGCACGAATGCACAGAATCACGGGGGATGGGAGAACACATTGAGGGAAACCTCTGAATAAATCTCAGTGTGCAGCCAGAAGATACCGTCCGGACAATAATGGGAGACTGTAACTGTTTCACCACGAAAAAGGGCAGGAGCTGGCTCTGAAGTGAAAGGGCTAAACTCTGCGATGTTAACAGTTACTCGGCAAGGAACAGACTATAAAATTCTGAATAATAAATGAGGTAAGCAGGCATGCAAAAGTTCAGGGAAAATATAAAACACTTACATTTAGAAAATTTCAGAAAATACAAAACAAATAGCCTCCAGTATGTGACAGGCAGCACTACACAGGGGTGAGAAACATCACTGCATTTAATCTCAACATCAGCCCCGCGAGGCAGGTGCTTTTAGTCTCCCTGCTCTGCAGACTGGGAAGCACAGGCACAGGCTGGAGGGACTGCCATGGCCAAGGGCCCATAGCCAGGGGCCAGGAGTTGAGCCCCGCAGTCCCTCCACCTCTGGCTCCAGGCCATAACATGTGCCTGGAAGTAGACATTAGCCATCACTTAAAATATATCCCAGGGAGATACCTAAACAGCATAATTAAGCATAAACTCAGCGGGGAGGTGAGTTCAGCCACTCTGCAGATCCCGCAGGAGGAAAACGGCTGGAAAAGCCCCGGGAGCATTAAAATATTGTTTGTACGAAGTCAGCAGTGACGTGGCAAATGCTTGCTCTTTATTTTCCTTTTCCAGTTGTTTTTGTTCACAGCATTGTTCATTGCTGGAGGCTTACGCTGTTTGCTACCAACATCTGAGTTTATTTTAGGGTCAATATCTTTATATCTGAAGCCACATCAGATTACTGCCAGTTGACTACAAATATAATGCACTATTTTGCCACATTTGTACTAGGTTACACACTGATACACATTCACAACTTGCGTCCACAGAAAAAAGGACTACAGTGGTCCTGAGAACACAGTAATTGTCCTTCAGAAGAAAGCTGCCTGACCTGCTGTCCTGTAACTGAGCTCCTCCTGGGACACTGTCACCATTTAGCCTGAGTGCCTTCAATGCCCCCCTTGCCCGGGACGGGTGTATAATCTGTTCTGATGATGCAGGGTCTGAGATGCTAGCAAAGCTCTCGATCTAACTTTAGGGACAGAGATTGCATTAGTGGACCAGTCATGCATACCTGTGACACACATTATCAACAGGAGATGACATGGGATCTGACATAACGGCTGATCCCTTCAGGAGAATCCCACAATTAATCAAAAATTGTTAAACATTTTACACATGTTTCTATATATTTAACCGTTTTATTTCCAAAACAAGCTTGAATATCCCTCAATAACATTCAGTTTACTATCAACTTAATAGTGAAAAGAATATATACGCCCCTCCCCGCAAGGCTTAAGTAGTCATTTTCTCGTAAGGACTCTGTTCTTTCTGAGCTGGTGAGGGTCATGGGAGCAGCAGAGGGAAGGCTGTAGAAAAAGGCTATAGAAACAATGCCTAGACTGAGTTCTTAACTCTCTACACCTCAGTCTTCTCCTCTGTGAGATGAAGATAATAACCACCACCCGCAGGGGTTGATGAAGAGTTAGAAATAACATGCATGTGACAGACTACACGGTGCTCCCATCAGTGTGGCTCATTAGAAAGGACGTGGTGATGAAGGGAGTTTTTCAGCTTTCACACAATTGTGCGCTTCTCAGCTCCAGGCTCCACGGTTAAGAGCCGCTGATCGGGAGTCCGAGAAGTCAAGAATTAAATCACGGATCTGCAGTAATTGGCTGCATAGCCTTGGAATTCCTTGCCCACCTCATGATTCCATTTGTTGATGGTCCTTTTCCTTTTCAGTTGCCTTCTGTTTCCCTCCTCTTGACTTCAGACATAATTTAGTTACCTGACAATCTTAAGTGAACCCTCCTTCTGCTGTTCACGTGGAATCATGGCGCCGCCAGCTACCTGGTTCGGCCGAGCAGTGAAGAAGGGGAGGAAGCTCCTCCTCGCTCACCCACCACGTGGGATCCATCACCGAGTCCCGTCAGCTCTGCCTCCCAACAATGTCTTGACGGTCCCCTTCTCCATCATCCAGCGCCACGCCGTTCAAGCCCCTGAGGTCCCTCACCTAGTCTGCCCCCTCATAACTACACCCTCCAGCTCATCACGCACAAGCTCCTGGGTTCTGCTAACGCACTCGCCTGCCACGCCCCAACCGTGCTTAAACGCCACCAGTGGCTTCCCTGGAAACTTAGGAGAAAATGCAAACGTTCTTTCCAAGGACTCGGAGGCATCTGAGTCCCCACAGTGGACCCTCCCTCTTTGTTTGCTTGTTCCAGCCTCGCTGGCCTTCCTTCAGTGTCTAAAAATGCCAAGCTCTTTTCCCCCTCAGGGCTATTTCTTCCACTAATCAAGTGTCCCTCGATCTCAAGTCAATGTGATGCTATCAGAGATTCCACTCTGACTCCTCATCAAAGTCAGACCCCCGTCACCTTCATGTGGCCTTAAGAGGCTGCAGCGACTCCACAGGGTTTGCTGCTGTGACAGGACACTTAGCCTGGGTCTCAGCAGCTGCTTTTAAAATATGATGAATAATTGTTTTTCTCTTTCTGACTTACTTCACTCTGTATGACAGACTCCAGGTCCATCCACCTCACTACAAATAACTCAATTTCGTTTCTTTTTATGGCTGAGTAAGATTCCATTGTATGTATGTGCCACATCTCCTTTATCCATTCATCTGTCGATGGACACTTAGGTTGCTTCCATGACCTGGCTATTGTAAATAGAGCTGCAATGAACATTGGGGTACACAGCACTGTGAAGCAATTACACTCCAATAAAGATGTACAAAAAAATGATGAATAGAAATGGATGAACTTGAGAAAGGTATTAATTTCTCAAGGCCGTGGTCTTCCTCTGTGAAAAATGAGGCAAATATTACCTGCTTGCCAAAATATTGATAGTTTAAGGATTAAAGAGATAATATATGTAAATTTCTTCAAAAAGAATCTAGCATACACTACCTATTGCATTCAGGATTCCTGCCTAGAATTTCTCACCAAACCTATTCAGTTCCAGCAAAGACTGGAAAAAAAGGTTGAAATATTTTGTGTATCTGGTAAATTCAAGTCCCTTTTCATTATCTTTTGTAAAAGCATCCAAAAGATATATAAATGTATTTATATTAATGTACCTAAATGTATAGGTATATTTAATACATGGTATATTTATATTAATATACATAAATATATAGACAGGTATATTTAATATGATATAATAATATACCTAATATACAAAATATAAATATACTAAAACAAATATACGTACGCATTTACAAGTTCTTAAGGAATTGATGAAAAACTTTTTTCATTAGCTAAATGAATTCTTATAATATGATAGTTTTATAATACTGTACATCTAAAACTTTTTTCTTAAGACACAGCTTTCCGATTCACCATTTTGCTTAAATAATATCTCAGTGTGAATACTGATGATAAGGATTTAAGTTAATGTTGGAAAATATATTCATGATTTATGATTTTAACATTTCAGCTTTAAAACTACAGAAAGAGCATTTTGAAATTTTAGTTGTGTATATGATCTTAAAGTAAAATTCAGTTCCTAAATCAGAAAGATAGATGACCATTATGAATGAATTCTTATCTTAGCCAGACTCCTGAATCCATATATATCTGTATATCTTGGTCCCTATACAGTTCCAAACTTTCTTTCAGGTTTTTTAAACTTTCAATTTGTTTTCTTCTATGGCTTCCACCTTTGATTTAACCACTTTCCTTAAAAAAGAATAGAAAAAAATAATAGGCATGAAATTACTTTAAAAGATTTCTCATTTCATTATTTCTGATTCTATTTTCTTGTTGGCTTTTCACATAATCTTTCTGCAACAGAAGCCTCTGGCTTTTCTCTTAAACCTAGGAAAATACGGGCCAAGTAACGGTTTAACATATCTTTTTTCTTGGAACCCTGCTAAACAATTGTTTACAAATAATCCCCATTTATGTAAGACCCATCTTCTTGTTATAAAAGAAAATCTTATAGGAAATGGTTTGCACTGTTAATAAATCAGTATGTAAACTTATGAAATTCTTTGGAACACTCCATCTGCTATGATGGGGGCAGGGACCAGTTATGTGTCCACTCAGTGTTAGCTCCTGTATCTCACACCTTTTCTTTACTCAGCTGGGGCCACTGTCAGTTGCCACGGTTTCAAAACACCCGTTGTATTTTACTTCCCGAAAGATAGTTTTCTCCTGTATTACTCTATACCAACAACAAGAAAAAGCTGAACAAACCAAAGAAGTCAACAAGTCTGCTCAGTTCCATCCGAAAACTGCTGGACAGTCAGGACAAATGGTTGCCCCCAGAATTGTCAGGCACGTACAGAGCCTCACAACAGTTTACCTGGGAGCAGAAACCTCTGTGGGAGCCGGGACCAGGCAGGAAAACCTGAACTGGAATTAACAAGTTGCTGGAGGTTCAGTGTGGACAGTCTGAGAGGTAACAACTCTGGGGGTGGGGGGTAGTTATAGGTGAGGCCTCCACACTTCTGTGAGTTTATCTCCAGGAAATCTACCAGTTTCTCACAGTGAAAACTGGAGAAAAATCCCCTCAGGCTTCTGGCAGGAGAAAGGGGAAAAGTAGCTATTTTGAAATACACTAGAGCATTCTGTCCTTTTAAAATTTTATTTTATTTTATATTGGTGTAGAGTTGATTTACAATGTTGTGTTAGTTTCAGATGTCCAGCAAAGCGATTTAGTTATACATATGCTATGAAAGGATTCTGTCCTTAAGAAGCCCTACCTTCAAGTGAAACTATTTTACCAGAACCTAACCTACTGTTTTTGTTTTTGTTTTTTTCAAACCCTAACCAAACTGTGGGAAGGGAAATACCCAGCTCCAGCCCACTGTAGACTCCTATTAGAGAAGGGGAGTTCCCAACTCCAGCTCCTTCTAGCTTTTCATGTAGCAGAAGGGAAATATCCAGCTCCAGGTCCCTCCAGCCGTCCTACCCCACCAAAGGGAGGGGCTTGCTGAGAGGCACTGGTGAAGGCCACAGCCCAGGGGCCCAAGTTCACGAACATCTCAGACCACAAGACTGCAGAACCTTCCCCTCCCTGCAAACCTCACCACCACATTACTGAAGGCTTATTTACTGCAGTTACTGTCACCCAGTACATCATGTGTGAATTTCAACAAAACATAGCAAGACATTCTAAAAGCAAAAAGAACACAGTTTTAAGAGATAGAGAAAACATTAGAAACAGACACAGCAGGGATGTTGGAATTATCAGGCCAGGGATTTAAAACAATTATAATTAATATGCTAAGGGCTCTAATGGAAAAAGTAGACAAAAAGCAGAAATATATGGGTAATATAAGAAGGGAGACAGCATTCTAAGAAGGAATAAAATAGAAATGCTATAGAGCAAAAAACACTAACAGAAACAAAGAATGCTTTTGATGAGTTCATTAGTAGATTGAATACAGCTAAGGAAAGAATCTCTGAGCTTGAGGGTATGTCAACAGAAACTTCCAAAACTGAAAAGCAAAAAAAAAAAAAAAAAAGACAAAGTATTGACAGAATATACAAGAACTGTGGGACAACTACAAAAAGTATAACGTGTGGATAAGGATAGAACCAGAAGAAGAAGAAAGAGAAAAAGGATCTGAAGAAACATTTGAAACGATAATGACTAAGAATTTCCCTAAATTAATGTCAGACTTCAAACCACAGATCCAGGAAGCTCAGAGAACACCAAGCTGGATAATTGCCAAAAAACCACATCTAGTATTTCATAGTAAAACTGTAGAGAATCAAAGATAAAAAATAAGTCTTGAAGGAAACCAGAGGGAGGAAAGAGCCTTATCTACATGGGAGCAAAGACAAGAACTGCATCCACCTTCCTCTCAAAAGTCAAGGAAGCAAGAAGAGGATGGAATTAAACATTTAAAGTGTTGACACAGGCAAGCAAGCAAACGAAAACACCAAGGATTCTTTACCTGCAGAATTATTCTTCAAAGGTGAAATATAGAGAAAGACTTCCTCAGGCAAACAAAAACTGAGGGACTTTGTTTCAGGTAGTCCTGTCTTATAGAAACATTAAAGAAGTTCTTGAGAGAGAAGGAAAATGATACAGGTGAGAAACTCAGATATACATGAAGAAGATTAGAAAAGGAGTAAGTTAAGATAAAATAAAATATTTTTCTTATCCTTAATTGATCTAAAAGACAACAGTTTTCTGGTAAATAATAACAAAATGTATTTGATCACTATAGCACATGTATAATTGAAATGAATGACAGAAATACTACAAGAAATGGATGGAAAAATTAGGAATAATTTATAACTTACTTGTACTACCAGAGAAATGGAATAGAGTCATGTGAAGTGGATTTGGATTAGTTGTAAATGTATATTGCGAACTCTAGACAACCATTAATAGAAGTTTAAAAGAAGTATAATTAATATTATAAGAACAAAGAGAAACTGTAATCATATACATGCTTAATTAAAACCAAAAAAGGCAGAAAAAGAGTGGAAAACAAAATAGGAACAAAGAACAACAGGAATTAATAGAACCAATCAAATATGTTACATATTAATTCAACTATATCAATAATCATTATAATGTCAATCATCTAAATATAGCAATTAGACGATGGAGATTGTCCGAGTGAACAAAAAAGAAAACCAAACTATATGTTGTCTAAAAGAAACCCAATTTAAATATAAAGACACATATAGATTAAAAGAAAAGGGATGGAAAACAGGTAGACCATGTGAACACCAATCAAAGCTGGAGTAGCTATACTAACAGAGCAGGCTTCAAAACAAGAAAAATTATCAAGGATAAAGAGAGGCATTACATAATGATAAAGGGGTAAATTCTCCAAGAAGACATACGATACCTAATGTGTATGCACCTACCAACTCAGCATCAAAATACATGAGGAAACAAATTGATAGAAATACAAGGAGAAATAGTTGAAGGCATTGTTGTAGTTGGAGACTTTAACATCTCTCTATGCGAAATGGACAGGTCCAGGGGGCAGAAAAGCAGTCAGAATATAGTTGAGCTCAAAAGCCCAATCAATCAACTGGATATAATTAACATCTGAAGACAATTTCAGCCAACAATAGCAGAATACAAATTATTCTCAAGGTCACAGGGAGTACTCACCAAGACAAACCACATTTTGGATCACAAAACACACCTTAAAATTTTTAAAGAAGAGAAATCATATAGTGTATGCTCTCTATGAATACAAAGGAAGTAAACGAGAAGTAAATAACAGAAATATAGCTGGAAAAGCCCCAAATACGTACAGATTAAACAACACACTTTCGAAGAACACACGGATCAAAGAAGAAATCTCAAGTAATGTGAAAAATATTTTGAAGTAAATTAAAACAAAAATATAATTTATCAAATTTTGTGGGAGACAGTAAAATTAGTGCATAGTGAGAAATCTGTAACACTAAACATACATTAAAAAAAAGATCTAAATCAATAATCTAAGCTTCCATCTTATAAAACTAGAAAAGGAAGACCAGAATAAATTCAAGTAAGCAAGAAAAGAAATAACAAAAATTAGAGCAGAAGTCAATAAAATAGAAAAATCAACAGGGAAAGTCAATAAAACCCAAACTGGTTCTTTGAAAAGATCAATACAATTGATAAAACTTCTAGCCAGGCCAACTAAGAAAAAGGACACGATTTACTAAAATCAGAAATAAAAGTTGGACCATCACTACAGATCCCATGGACACTAAAAGGATGATAAATTAATATTATGAACAACTCTATGCTCACAATTTTGATAACCTAGATGAAATGGACCAATTCCTTGAAAAATATAATCTGACAAAACTCACACAAGGAGAAACTGACAATGTGATTAGGCCTATATCTTTTAAAGAAATTGAAGCAATAATTAAAACCTTCCCAAACAAAAATCAATAGGCCCATATGGATTCCATGGTTAATTCTACCAAACATTTAATTAAGAAATGATACCAATGATACTATACATTTTTCCATAAGACAGAAGTAGAGGGGATTTTTTCCTAACTCGTTATATGAGGCCAGTATTAACACTAATATTAATACCAAAACCAGACAAAGACAATACAAGAAAAGAAATCTACAGACCATTATCTCTCATAAATATAGATATAAAAATCCCCAGCAAAAATCAGCAAATTGAATCTCACAATGTATAAAGGAATTGTGCATCACAATCAAGTGGAATCTATTGCAACCTATCACATCAATAGGCTAAAGAAGAAAAATTATATGACTGTATCAATTTATGCACAAAAAACATTAGATAAAATCAAACAGCTATTTATGATAAAAACTCTCAGTAGGGCTTCCCTGGTGGTGCAGTGGTTGAGAGTCCGCCTGCTGATGCAGGGGACACGGGTCCGTGCCCAGTCTGGGAGGATCCCACATGCCACGGAGCGGCTAGGCCCATGAGCCACGGCTGCTGAGCCTGTGCGTCCGGAGCCTGTGCCCTGCAACGGGAGAGGCCACAACAGTGAGAGGCCCACGTACCGCAAAAAAAAAAAAAAAACAAAAAGCAACCCTCAGTAAACTTGGAATACTACTTCCTGAACTTGACAAAGAACAAAAAAATAAAACTACATTTAACATGACACTAATGGTGAGAAACTAGAAGTTTTATTGCTAAGATCAGAAACAAAGCAAGAATGTCCTTTCTCACCACTCCTTCTTAATATTGTATTGGGAGTCCTAGTTAATGCAATAGGACAAGAAAAAGAAAAGAAAGGTATACATATTGGAAAGGAAGAAGGAGTTCACAGATGACTTGATTGTCTATGTATAAAGTCCAAAATAATTGATTAAAAAGTTCTTGTAACTAATAAGCTATATAGCAAGTTTGCAGGATACAAGGTTAACAGATAAAAGTCAATTGCTTTCCTATATACCAGCAATCAACAAATGGAATTTGAAATTAAAAGCAAAATATCATTAATATCAGTACCCCCCAAAGTGAAATACTTTAGTATAAATCTAATGAAATATGTATAAAATCTATATTAGGAAAACTACAAAACTCTGATGAAAGAAATTATAAAAGAACTAAGTGGAGAAATATAGTCCACATTTACAGCCAGGAAGACTCAATATTTTCAAGATGTTACATCTTCCCAACTTGATTTATAGATTTAACATAATCCCAATCAAAATCCCAAACAAGTTATTTTGTGGATATTGACAAATTGATTCTCAAGTTTTATGAAGAGGCAAAAGACCCAGAATAGCCAACACAATATTAAAGAAGAACAAAGTTGCAAGGCGAACACTAGCCAATTTCAAGACTTACTGTAAAGCTACAGTAATAGAGACAGTGGTATTGGCAAAAGAATAGGCAAATAGACCCGAGGAACAGAACAGAGAGCCTAGAAACAGACACACATAAATATAGTCAACTAATCTTTTACAAAGGAGCAAAAGTAATACAATGGAGAAAATATCATCTTTCAACAGATAGTGCTAGAACAATTGGACACATATATGCAAAAAATAATAATTTAGATGGAGACTTTACACTTCTCACAGGGAGTGAGTTCACTGCACTCACTATGGTGTGTGTGCCTGTTTGTTTGTGTTATTAACCACCACTATATGAACTAAACCACTTAAAAATTATACTATACTTCACACACTTTATAGCACAGAAATTTTCAGTGAAAGGCTTGATGAGGACATACTCAGATGAGGAAATAGCTTCCAACACTCCAGAAGATTCCCTGGACCACTCTCAGCACTATCTGCCCCACAGGTAACTGCTCATCTGACTTCTGTCACCAGAGATTACTTTGAGCTGCTTTTGACTATACATAAATGGAATCATACAGGATGTTTTTTTTTTAAATATCTTTATTGGAGTATAATTGCTTTACAATGGTGTGTTAGTTTCTGCTTTATAACAAAGTGAAATCAGTTATACATATACATATGTTCCCATATCTCTTCCCTGTTGCATCTCCCTCCCTCCCACCCTCCCTATCCCACCCCTCTAGGTGGTCACAAAGCACCGAGCTGATCTCCCTGTGCTATGCGGCTGCTTCCCACTAGCTATCCACCTTACGTTTGTTAGTGTATATATGTCCATGCCTCTCTCTCGCTTTGTCACAGCTTACCCTTCCCCTTCCCCATATCCTCAAGTCCATTCTCCAGTAGGTCTGTGTCTTTATTCCTGTCTTACCCCTAGGTTCTTCATGACATTTTTTTCCTTAAATTCCATGTATATGTGTTAGCATACGGTATTTGTCTCTCTCTTTCTGACTTACTTCACTCTGTATGACAGACTCTAGGTCTATAGGATGTATTTTTTTAATTGATTTCCTTAACTCAACATTATCTCTGAGATTTATCCATGCAGTTATGCGAATTATTAATTAATTCACTGGAATTACTATATCATAGTCCACTGAACGAATATAGCACTGTTCAGTGAACCATTATGCTGATGGGCATTTGACTTGTTTCAAGTTCTTGGCTATTGTGAATAAATCTGATATGACAATTTTGGTGTGAATTTTAGTGGCATAAGCATGTATTTCTACTCAGAATATCAAATTATGTTTTGAAAACTGTTAAATAGATGAAAAGAATCGAGCATTGATCTGTCCTGCCTTTCCTAAACAATGCAATAGCTGTAACACTAGATAACCAAACGGTAGAAGAGGGACATTTCTATTTCTAAGCATATTCCAGTTGATAAACAAAGGTGGAATGTTTGAACTAGAATAGAAAATATATGTAATAACATGTTGAAAAGTCCATAAAAAAGAAGTGCATTAAAATATGAGGTCGATAGTCAGATGCATGTGCACGCATATAATTTTTCACATAATACATCGTTATGGTTCACACACATACAGAGAACACGTATTACGGGATTTTAAAGCTGATACGCGTGGCTTTGTGCATCTGGATTATCACAGGTGACATAACTCAGGTACTGACAAGAGGGGCTGGCAGCGTCCTAAATCTACTGGAGGAAATGGACCCAGCAGTTCTGGATGCAGAGCTCTTGGTGCCCCACTAGGTCCTTCCAAGACAACTACTACAGAGTGCATCACGGGAGTCACAGAGCGCTGTTTGTATCAAGGGTGATTGCTGCGAAGTGCTGGAGGGAATGAATCAAACGTTATCTCCCTTTCTCTAGGGAGAATGAGTAAGAACACTGAACAGGTAGAGCTCCAGGGAGGAACGAGATCTAGAGCACTAGGAGTGTACCTCGGTGTGTTCTCAAGTTACAGGAAGGCTGATGCTCTGTACATGGTGAAGCACTGCACCCAGCGGGTCCCACCCTGGCATGATTACATAATTACCTTAGAGCATTCTTTTCCTCATGTTTGTAGATTGTATAGCCCCTGCTGAGAACAGCTCCAAGTACAAACAGGAAGGAAACAGCCCTGCCCTCGAGTCCAGTGAGGAAGATAAACAAGCCTGTAGCAATTACAACTCAGTTGGTAAGAGACATGCTCTGCGTAGGCACGGATGCTGGGAGGACACAGAGAGAAAAGAGGCCACGTTGTTTATGATCCCTTTGTAAATTCCAGTTTTTGGGACAAATTTGCTATACAAGTTATTAACCAACCATTATGTGACATAAAGAAGTCAATTTCAATACCTCACACTGCTCTTAATTAGGTTTTGTTACTTTTTTCAGAGTAACATGAGTGAAGGCACCTATTCCTCTGACAATCAAGCTTTACTTTTCAGTAAAAGAAACATGCAAAATGGGTCCAAAATTAGTTACATATACATGACCACGGTCACTTGGTGAGTCATTACAGAAGATGAGGTATGTACTACTTTCAGTGCCCAGACTTACATTTTCAGTTCTTAATAAACATGTTCTGGAATCATCATGGATTCTGCCATGTTTACCAAATTCTACAAGCTAGGAGAGTGTGTACATGTTTTTTATGCTTTACTTACAGATCAGTGGCATATTACAGGTGAAAATTCCCAAAAGTAATACATTGGTTTAAAGAAATTACATCCAAGTTCTACCCTAGTGGGTTTTAAAGATCACCTGACTTACTCCATCATCTAAGAGATGAAGAAAGTAAGGTTCAGAGAGTATTCAAAGTGTGCTTAATGGCTCTACATGTATTAGGTGGTAATTATAGAACCAGAACATGGATTTAAGTACTATTCTACTGGACCATGATAAGTATTTAAATTCATCACTTGCAAATGTAAGTCTAAGAGGGAAGAAGATTAAATATAATCTATAGGACAATAATGAGATAAGGTAAGGTAAACAGTGACACCCAAAATCTGAAGGAAAAAGTATCTTAAAATCTTTCTTGAAAACCAACTTAATTGTGATTTAAATTAAAAAAATATGGGGCTTCCCTGGTGGTGCAGTGGTTGAGAGTCCGCCTGCCAATGCAGGGGACGCAGATTCGTGCCCCGGTCTGGGAAGATCCCACATGCCGCGGAGCAGCTGGGCCCATGAGCCATGGCCGCTGAGCCTGTGCGTCCGGAGCCTGTGCTCCGCAACGAGAGAGGCCACAACAGTGAGAGGCCCGCGTACCGCAAAAAAAAAAAAAAAAAAATATATATACGGAAAACATTTGAGTAATATTGTTCCCTTTGAATGATGTCTTCTCACATTCAATTTTCACTTTTCTGAATTTTCAGGTAGTATTTATTCAATTAAAATTCAAAAGGTAGAACTAGCTTGTCATCAGTATACTTTCAGCTTACACCTGGAAATTGTCGATCTTAACTGCAAAGTAGATGTTCACGGTGAAGAACAGAGCAGAACTTTGATGATTTTTCATCCTTCGTATTATTGTTCTTTTTTTTGATGTTTTTTAATGAAGTTAGCTATTCAGTATACCTATTTTTACTGTGAGTGTCTAAGAAGAAAAAAAAAATTCTTGTAATGACTGTATTTCACAATTTCATCTATTTTACATTTTAGTCCAATATTGCAGGTTTTCTGAAGTAATCTACATTTTCTGATTTTCCATCCAGCATTGTGTTCACTACCTACAATATTAGTTTATTATTCTTACCTGCTATTTTATTACCCTTAAGCAATTTGCTTAACAATGTTGCACTGTAAAACCAATTGCTATTTTTTCATTTCTTTTACTATTTGCTATCTAATTTATGGGGAATGTCAATAAAATGCATACAGAGTTTCAATGATATTAAGGTATTTATGAAGTAAATAAAAATATAATTATTCATTTCAACTTATAATTTATCTTCTATTAGCTCCTGAAAAGCAATGCTATTTTTTTCCTGTCGGTCACACACGGGAAATGAAGTTGAATTGCACTGCACTAACCCCGTAGTGATCAATGCAGCCCCACCCACTGATCTCACATTACAGAAATCAAATATAATGTACATGAAAGAACGTTATAATAAAGAAATCTGAATCTTTTAAAACTCATTTTAAATGCGGAAAGTCTTTCACAGCTTTAATGGTTACATTTTTACTAATGAATCACTTAATAAACACTGCACAACTGATGAATTCAAATGGATCAATTTATCAAAGTACTATAGTTAAAACCACTACCATAAGGGATACAAAAATGTAATGCAGGCTCTCTCTCAAGCTAATGGCATCTAGTAGACAGTGAAGTTCACCAGTACCTATAAAACAAGGTAAATGAAAAATACTCGAGAGGTATAAGCCAGATGCAGAGTTGGAAGTAATCATATTTAATTAAAGAGATGACAGAATTCTTTACAAAACAAGTGACATTTGAAATTGTCCCATAATTACATTTAGACTTTGATATGAAATATAGGGACAGGTGGCATAGGTCATTCCAGATTGTGGGAACAGCATAAGCAAAAGCATGATTTTTAAAAATTATGAGGCACTTTCAGGAAAGAGCAAGATGTACCACCCTTCCCTGAGATTCAGTTCTCCATTTACAACTCTGAATATGTTTTCTTCGGATGGACAGGTGCTTCTCGCCTGCTATGAGACACAGGCCTAATATGGCTCTAACGTCTTCCACTGAAAACCACCTCCTTCTGCTGCTCCCTTCTTGACATCCAGCTTTTGACTCTTCTCTTTATGTCATCCTCCAAAATCAAAGCTGATCAAGTCATATAGATTTTATTGCCCAGTGATCCTTGCATTAATTCTCTTTTGCATAACAATTACACTGCCTTAAATTATGCTTTTGTGTTATAAATATGACTGATTTACATTAGAGACATAAATTCGTTGAACTAACTATAATACAAAATAAAAACTGGCTTTTATGATTTAGGCTATTGGCCAAGATAGAGTAACAGAGATAGGATTTAATCTCCTCCGTAAGACAATAAAAACTTAATATATGAAACAATGGTATTCAAAATATGGACATCAGGCAGTAAAGTCAGTGATCCATAGAAATGAGAAAAATTGAGGTGAGCCCTAGCAACACCCCTGCTGACTACCTGGATAGAATCCCCAGGAAGGGCACAGGCATAGGAGGAAATGACTCAAGGCCAGGGAGAGAAACACCTACCAACATTAGATGCAATTTCACCCCATCCTCACACAGGCCAAGAACAGTGCCCTTCCCTCATCCAGAGTACATGGGGCACTGGGTAAATTACTTGGAAGTTCCATGCCTCAGTAAGGAGGTATAATTAGCCCTAAACCAACACTGCTCTAGTCCAACCTAAAAAACTTTAGTCCAGCCTAAGAAACCTTAATGCAAAATACAAAAGGATCAAACTCTTTCTAAATAACTACATCCCACAACAGAGCTTAGTAACATTTACAAGAATCTGAAAAATATCTACCACACAGTGAAGTGAAACTCACATCTGACATCCAATAAAAAATTACCAGGCATGCAAAGTAGCAGGACAAGTCAACCCATCACAAGGTGATAAGAAGTCAATCAGAGCTGACTTAGAACTGACACAGACGTTAGCATTAACAGACAAGGACAATAAAACAATAATTATAACTAGATCCCATGTATTCCAAGTGGTTAATAAAGATATAGAAGATAAAAAAAGTCCCAAATCCAACTTCTAGATGTGAAAAGTACAATATCTGAGATTAAAAAAGAAACACATTGAATGGTATTGCCAGCATTAGACATTACAGAGAAAAATAAAATAGTAAATTTGAACTTATGAAATAGAGAGAATAAGCATTAAAACAAATAAATAGGTCATCACAAGTGGCCAACTATACATGTAATTAGAATGTCTAGATTAGAAGAGGGATAAGAAATATATGTGAAGAAGCAAAATGCCTGGAACACACAGACCCAACTTCCTCAACAAAGCCAGACACAAGAAACACGAAGAATATTATACATATAATATTCTTATATATATATAAGAATATTATAAAGCACACTGTGATCAAATTGCTCAAAACGAGTGATAAAGAAGAAAATTATCAATGAGCCAAAGAACCAAGATTTTCATTATGAAGGAATAAAGAGACAAGTGTAAACTAAAAATACTAGTCAAACTCAGATCGAGTGTTTTCCTTAAGATTAAATAACACTGGCCACAGAAGAATCCTAAAGGTGAGAACAGCCTAGGGGCAGCCAGCATCCCTAACAACGTAAGAGCTTCTTCGGGTCTTAAACTGAAGAAACCAAAGTTGAAAAGATAGCGTGGAGACAAGCAAACACCTGAAAATTGATAACTTACTAAATATTAATGAAAGTTTTATAAATATTTTTAAAATTGTGATAATGAAAAGCTAGTTTTGTAGAAAAAGAAAGCCCTTGTATCTCAGGTATGCACTGTGGAGTGTTTAAGTTGGAAATGAGAGGGAATCCAAATTTACTTTTAAGTATTGCTGAAAAAAATGATGTTGAAGAGAAACGAAAGAAGACATTGATCATGGTTCATTATACTATTCTTTTTGTGTTTGCTTTCTATTATAAAAGGAGTTTTAAAGAAGCTATAAAGATGTGTTTTTCAAACACCATTTTATTCTAAGTATGCCTACATAATTTTGACAACAAAAATACATTCAGAATGTACAAATTAACAATTTTATTCTATTGTCGTAGATAGCCACTATTTTCCTATATTTCCACTTAAGGAAAAAGCTAGTGAACAACAACAATAAAAATATCCTATTAATGAAAACTTCACATACAGCAACTATCAGTGAATGTATAGATTCGAACTAGGAAATTGCAGTTGAAGTTAAAAGGCAGATTTTAATTTTTTTATGTCTTGTACTGTTTATCTTGAAAATGCTATTTATTTAAGACAAAATAGTAAAAGAAATGGGTTTGCTCATAATCAAAACCAGAATGTACTCAAGGCTATCTGCTAAGGGCATTTATCAATTAAGAAACCTTTCAAATGAAACACCTAAAACCAATGCAGCTAAATAAAATTGATCTTTGCCACATTTACCTATCCAGGTGGAGAGTAGAATAAAGCTTTTCGTAAGTGGCCTCTCCATCGTGTTCTAGCTAAAAAGGCTCCAACAGTGGCTTCCTGCTAATGTAGCTGTTGGAATCCATATTGATAAACATAAAAAAAAGCCGAATATATCATTTCAGTTTAGAGAACAATTCTGAAAATTGAGAGCATCATTTCTGCCATCGTAACGCAGCTTAGATTTCAGTCTATATGAAAATAAATGTGTAATCACTACACCATTAATGCCTCAACAGTTGGAAGCAATGATGCATAACCAAACTGTATTATAGAGGCTGAATCTGTGTGGATCTGAAATTGAATGTAATTCAAAATCATTTGGTCTAAATGTTTTTCTTATTTTTATTAGTCTATGATTAGCTGTTTATATAGTGATATCCAGAATATCCCTAAAACTTTTGTTTAATATTTAACCCCACTAATCAAGAGGCAGCAGCCTAAAATACACACACACACACACACACACACACACACACACCACACACACACCACACACATTCACAGAAGTACAGAACTGATATTTTTTTTAATTTGAAAGGCAATAATAGAAAAGGTCAGTAAAATAATGCAAAGGCATAGTGGAAAGGAATAAAGAAAGAAGATAATACAGTTAATGGAATGAGAGAACAAATTAAGGAGAGGAAATAAATAGAAGTAATAAATGTCACATAATAAATTTCATTTTTTTCATTTTATGTTGAAGAAAGGGAATAAATGCTTTTAAAAATACAGAAAGGGGCTTCCCTGGTGGCGCAGTGGTTTGGAATCTGCCTGCCAATGCAAGGGACACGGGTTCGAGCCCTGGTCTGGGAAGATCCCACACGCCGTGGAGCAACTAGGCCCGTGAGCCACAACTACTGAGCCTGTGCGTCTGGAGCCTGTGCTCTGCAACAAGAGAGGCTGCGACAGTTAGACGCCCACGCACCGCGATGAAGAGTGGCCCCCGCTCACTGCAACTGGAGAAAGCCCTCGCACAGAAACGAAGACCCAACATGGCCAAAATTAAATAAATAAATTTATTTTTTAAAAAGAGCTAACTAGGCTGTACATAGGATTAAAAAAAAAAGAAATATCATGAATACAGGATAGAATAAATAACTGAATGTATGGATTATACTACAGAAAGGTAAAACATATTCTGAATAAATCTGAGGCCCAGAAAGTAAGTGAAGAAGATGACTGGTACTCCAGGAGAAATCAGCGGAAAGAATACGAAGGATAAGAGATTTCCATTGGATATCATTTATGTGGAAAATACAGGAGGGATGGTATATATGTGCAGTTCTATAAATGGTTTTAATGTAGTCATATAATGACTGTGAATTAACTATCACTGGATCAATACAGATGAAATAAAACACAGAAATTAATGTAATGTCAAATATAAATGAAATATACTAAAAATACATAACTAAATGCAACAAACAAATAAGAATTTAAAATATTTTTATTTTTCCCTATGTCCTACTAGATTTTGCATAGATATTTCCAGAAAAAAAAAATTGCTCCAAAGATTATTTTTTAATAATGGAAGACTTGAAAAAATCTATAAGCATATTTTGATGAGAAAAATAGTATATTTATTTAACATTAAAGTATCTGTAGGAAATTATTTGTGAAAAAATATGACAGAGTCTTTTCAATGTCAATGATTTTCTACTTAATTACATAAATGTTGATTGTCCATTTTTTAAATTTCTAGTTACCCAACTAAACGAGGTAAAGGGGCTTTAAAAACAATGCCCTGAGTGACAGTGTGACCCTACGTGAGATGGGGCTCTTCTCTCTGGCACATTCATCCCGTTCACAATAACACCAGTTACCACAGTACTCGGTTACAGCTCACGCTCAGCTTTCGACTTAGCCTGTTTTGTTGTTGTTGTTCTTGCTCCTTTCTTGCTTTCTTTTTGGTTTCTTCAAGGTTTTCTTTTCCTTTCTTGTTAATTGAATTTTTCTGTCTATTGTTTCACAACTTACAATTTAGTTAATTCTTTAAATTTCACGGGACTTCCCTGGTGGCACAGTGATTAAGAACCTGCCTGCCAATGCAGGGGACACGGGTTCAAGCTCTGGTCTGGGAAAATCCCACATGCCACAGAGCAACGAAGCCCGTGGGCCACAACTACTGAGCCTGCGCTCTAGAGCCCGTGAGCCATAACTACTGAGCCCACGTGCCACAACTACTGAAGCCCGTGTGCCTAGAGCCCGTGCTCCACAACAAGAGAAGCCACCACAACGAGAAGTCCATGCACCGCAACGAAGAGTAGCCCCCGCTCGCCACAACTAGAGAAAGCCCACACGCAGCAACGAAGATCCAATGCAGCCAAAAATAAGTAAATAAATTAAAAAAAAAAATTTTGCTAACATTTTACACACATATTAGACAAGTAGGCCTATCTCCCTGATAACCATTTCCTACTGTTCTGTGACATTTTAGTTGCATATTAATTTAATATGATCTAAATTACACCACCACTGTTACATGTACCACAAATGTCTTCATATCCACACACTAATCCGTTCTTGCACCTCTGTCCTTCCTTCTAGGCCCGGTTTTCCTCCACATTAAGAACAATCTTTAGAAAATTCTATAATCAAACTATGTAAAAGATAAACACTCTCAAGTATATTGCCTGAAAAAACTTTACTGTACACTTGTTTGGATTAGTTAGGATAAGTATAAAATTACAGGTTAACAGTTATTTTCTCTCAGATATTTGAGGTTACTATGCCATTGGATTCTGGCTTCCATCTCTACTACTGAGAAGTCTATTATTATTGAAACATTTGTCTTTTGTTTAGGTAATTTGCATGTTCTGTCTGTGTGCTTTTCAGATAATCTTTTTGCTTTTAACACTTTGTGATTTCAGTCCAGCATATGTTGGTGTGGGTTTGTACCTATTTATCCTGCCCAGGAGTTTCCTCGTGTCTTTCATCTATTCTGTAATATTATCTGCAAGTATATCTGTAGGAGGAAACCCTTTTATCATCTGATTTTTATGTGAAATAATCTTAGCCCAGAAGACTTTGTGTATCTCTAATTCACTTACGCTCAGAGGATGTGGAATGCCTTACAAGTAAATCTGGGAAGGAAACTTGGCCATGACGTGATCATTATCGACCTTGTTCCTTTTGTTTCTCTCTCTTCTGTTCCTGCTTTCCACATGTTTCACCTCACAGTATTACCCAGTAAGATACTGATTATTGATGGCTGGTATTTCTAAAATTTCATTCATAAATTTGTCTCTCACACTAAGGTACATTATTCAAAATATTCTCTATCATTAATAAAAGTGACATTTTACTTCCATAATTATTTTGTAAAGTTGTTCTGGGCCAGATGGAAAAGAACATTGCCTTTTAATAAGGAATCCCTCAAAACTCCCAACAATACCAATACCTTAAAATAAATGTCCTTTCTGTTTTCTCTGTATTCTCTTCTTTGGAATTCTTACATGATCTATGTTGGGTATCTTTTTCCGTACTTATCTCTCTTAACTCTTCTGCTTTTTCCATCTTTTAAAACAGAGTGTGATTTGTTCAGCTCTATACTCCAGTTTTCTAATTACTTCATATTTTAACAGCTATGTTTTATGGTATTTAACGCATATATTGAGGTTTTAATTTCCATGGTAGAATTTCTAATTATTTCTTTTGCAGGTCTGTCTGGTATATTGTTTGACAGTAGCTTGTTATATTTTAATCACTCGTATAATTGACTATTTAAAATATATTGATTTTATTTACTTTTTAATTTTTTTTTTTTGGCCACACTGCATGGGTTGCAGGATCTTAGTTCCTTGACCAGGGACTGAACCCAGCCGTGCAGTGCAAGCCCCAAGTCCTAACCACTGGACCGCCAGGAAATTCACGAACATATATTGATTTTAGATTCTGCATCCCTCTTATGTAACCCTATCATGTAAAACTTTGTGGTCACATTTTTGCTTGCTATGTCATATAACTTGCACTAATAGTGGAAGCTTCCTTGTGTGTTCTGGAATTGGATTGTGAACTCATGTTCAGGTGGTCTTATCTATAAGAGTCTTGTGTGTCCTGAGCCAGGGATGTATCTTTCTGGCAGTATTTTCAGTTTGCAACTGATTTTAAATGTTCATGTCTTTTACTGCATGTTCCCAGACCACACAGAACTTGTAAATTTGATGCATGGTTACAAATATCCAGAGAAGACTTTATTTTCACCCAGAGACGGGGTGCAATAGAAAAACTGCCTCGATGCCTTTCCTCCTCAGCTTGGAAGTTTTGAATCTACTCCTGCACTAAAATACCTTGAAGCCTCCTTCTTCATAGAAGCTTTCACTTCACTTCCCTGAACCAATAAGCCCCCGTTCTCCTGACTGCACATGATTATTAAAATTTAAACTCTTCAGATTTGAAACCTGACTTGATATTGTTAATTTTTCAGTATGATATTGTATTTGGTTATATTTGTTTAGAAAGCCCATTTTATATAAACCTGGTAAAAACTTTACAGATGAACATAATATATGATTGTTTTTTTTGTTTCAAAATAACCCAAAAAAGAGTGTTGGGAATTGAGAAGAGGTAAAGGTGAACTGTATTTTGTCATAGAGAAGTTCAGTGATGGGTGTGTAGGTGTTTCGAGTACTACTTCCTGTATTTTTGCACATGCCTAAAGTTGCCCACAATCACAGTACTTTTTAACCCAACCGTGGTTAGTACTTGCAAGAGCCCTTCTGCCCCTCAGCCTCGTCCTCCGTGAGGCAGGACCAGCTTCTGGTTACAGCTCTGTTTTTCAATTTTACACTGGTACTAAACCTTATTTTTGAATTCTGTTTTACACTTAAATTATATTTTATCGGGCTTCCCTGGTGGTGCAGTGGTTGAGAGTCCGCCTGCCGATGCAGGGGACACGGGTTCGTGCCCCGGTCCGGGAAGATCCCACATGCCGCGGAGCGGCTGGGCCCGTGAGCCATGGCCGCTGAGCCTGCGCGTCTGGAGCCTGTGCTCCGCAACGGGAGAGGCCACAACAGTGAGAGGCTTGCATACCGCCAAAAAAAAAAAAAAAAATTATATTTTATCTGTAAATTTTAGAAATTTTGTACCAAAATTCTTTTTTCCGATAATTTAATTTGCCTTATGTTTTTTAATTAAAAAAGAATGATTTATTTAGACCAGGGCACCTATCTGCATTATTTTAAGATTATAACTGAACATCCATCTTTTTGAAAACAGGATGAGAGGGGATTTGAACAGTATCACTTAAATCATAGATTATATTCTCAATGATAACTTTGGCTTTATTACTTAATCAAACTTTCACACTTTCAAGATAAAAACAACTGCCATTCTTTAAGGCTCTTGAAATTCTACCCTTAGAACAGTGTTTAGAATGCATTTCTGCAACTCTCCGTGCCAATGTCAAATCATCACCTCTGAAACTGAAATTTTATGACACTCCAAGGAACCCACAAACTATTTAATAAAACTAGAGAACAAACTGGGTAACAAGTCTGAAATAAAACAAAGCAGGTACCTTAAGCAATGGTGGCATCACTGCAGTAAGCAAACTCCTTTCCAGTTTGAAGGATAATATTCATTGGAAACTACAAGTTTAGGTACCTTGCGGAGATGAACGCATTGGCCAGTGGATATGCGCATATTTAGACTGAGGCTTACTTAATATCTGTTAAATAAAATGGGCAGGTTAACTATTTTCACATATGTAGACGCTGAGCTTTAACTTTCAATATCAATAAGACAGAGTTACAACAAATTTATATTTTCCTTTAATTGTCTCAATTCAATATGTCTTCTTTCCTGACCAATGGTGTCTATGGACAGTGGATTTATATGTGCAGGGTACTGAAATGTAAAACGTTTTACTATCATACCAAGTATTAAAATGTTTTTCTTCTAAGGACTGAAAACGTTTTGGAAGAGAAGTGATGACAGCTGAATTAGGTATACACCTGCCTGACATCTCCATCTCTTCTTTGGGTGCTTCTGTCAGCCAGCTTTGAAATAGCTGCACACTTAGGCCAAGGAGTAAGACGTAGTGTACCTGGTTCAGCCTTAAATGTCATCTTTCGCTTTTGTAGATTTTTAAATCTTTTCACCAAAGACAGACACAATTAATCTGTCCTAAATGAATGCGTGTAGGTTGCATGTCAAACTTAAAATCTGCATACGGTGCAATAAGATTCACTGCCAAATACATTTTTTTTGCCCAGCAGTAGTTTTGCATCAGATGATGTGGGAAAAAAATCAAAACTACTAGACTTTCTTTCCTTGGGATCATCATACTTTCTTTTTTCCCCAAAGGAGAACGTGGCATAGCTTACTTAGTATTTCGAAGTTTAAAGAAGAGAGTAAATCCACGGTTAGCGTCTCATCGTGGGGTGCTATCATTTTTGTCTTGGGAATGATGGACATGTTTCAAAAGAAATTTAAGCCTTGGTGCCCTTTCAAATATAGAACAATAGCAAAAAGCATGTGTTTCTTTCATCTCCTGAACTCTAAGCTTGATTAAGCTCAGTAAAGGGCCATTAACACCATCAGACAGCTTTAGAAAACTATTTTTATTAGTTCTTTCCAGATGACTATAAACGCCAAGAATTCATGAAGATACATTTGCTTCCTTTTGTGAAAGCCGTTCAGCGTTGTCTTTGATATGAAGATCACAAGTATTGCTTCCTAGTTAAAACAGACAAAACTGGTTCATGAATAGGAGCCTCTTTTAGAAAACAAATCACTATTTACGCAGTTCTGTAGCTCTGGAAAGCAGTCTCTAGGAAAATGAGGGCAGGACATGACCAGGAAGAAAAAAATCTAACTAGCATTTATAACCTTAACAGCCAGTTGTTAAAATACAACAATACCTATGGACAGTTATGAAATGACAGACACTCTTACTTTACTAGGCATTTAATATGAATAAATGAATAGGTATAACATATGAGACATTAAAGAAAAATGAAATTAATTGTAGCATACTCTATCCATCTTAAGATATAGAACTTGGAATATTACAAATCACAAAAGAATATAGAAGAAAGGTGGAGGTGGTGCCAGTACAGGTTTTTATCTTCTTAAATTACTGCCCACCCCCAAGAAACAACCCTAGAGGGACTGATACAGAGACACACTCACACACACACACACATATATATAATCTCTCTATATATATCATCTTTATAAATTAATAACATCTACAACAATGACAACACAAAAGGCGAGGAGGCAGCCTCAGGCACCCCGCATTGTGTTTGGTAGGGGAGAAAAAACACAAAAACAGTTACAAGTCTGGTATGGTGTTAATATCTGGTAGAAGGAAGCAGAGACACACAACAAAACCTCTGATGGAGATGAACCAACAGAAGGAAAACTCATAGTGAAGCGAACTCTCTGGAAAGCACAGCAAGCTTAAACGAGCATCACAGCTGAGGCTCGGCAGGGCTGTTTGTACTTGAAAATTAATAGGTGAGTGGGAGGGTCTCCTAAGGTCTGAAGGGGCTGGGACAGTAAATCCTGTCAGCGCGTCAAATTCACCAGCCAAAGCTCCCTTCTAGGACAAGACCCTGATCTGAGGAGAAACCTCTGGCTAGAAGGAAAAAAATAAAGATATACTAACAGGAAAAACAAAACATAGTTTTAAGAGACAGAGTAAGCATCAGAACCAGACTCAGCTATGGCAGGAATGTTGGAATTAGCAGACTGGGAATTTAAAACAACTCTAACAAATATGCTAAAGACTCTGAAAGTAGAAAGCATGGAAGAAGAGATGAGCGACGTAAGCAAAGAGACAGAAATCCTAAGTAAGAAGCCAAAGGAAATGCTAGAGACCACATACAATGTACCAGAAACAAAGAAGGCCTTTGATGGGCTTATTAGTAGACAGGACATGGCTGAGCAAAGAACCTCTAAGCTCAAGGATGTATCAATAGAAACCTCCAAAAATGAAGAGCAAAGAAATAGAAACAAACAAATAAAAAACAGGAAAAATATAGAAAAGTTTTCAGATTAACTACAAAAGGTGGAATATTTGTAATGGAAATACCAGAAAAAGAAGAAAGAGAAAATGGACAGAAGAATTATTTGAAATAATATGACTGAGAATTTCCCCAAATTAAGATAAGATACCAAACCACAGATCCAGGAAGCTCAGAGGACACCAAGCAGGATGAACTGATTCCACCCCTGCCCCCCACCTCCAGCAAAAAAAAACTATATGTAGGCATGTTATTTTCAAACTATAGAAAACCAGAAATAAAGAAAAAGAATCCTGAAAGAAACTGAAAGAAAAAGAAAAAACAACTTACCTATAGAGGAACAAAGATACAAAGATAAGAATTACATCTGACTTCTCAGAAATCATGTACAGGAAGAGAGTGGAGTGAAATATTTAAAGTGTTGAGACAAAAAAAATCAATCTAGAATTCTGTACTTTGCAAAATAACCTTCAAAAGTGAAGGAAAAATAAAGATTTTTCTCAGATAAAACACAATTTGAAGGAATTTGTTGCCAGTAGACCTGTGTTGCAAGAAATGTTAAAAGAAGTTCTTCAGAGAGAAGGAAAAAGATATAAGTAAGAAATGTGAATCTACATAAGGCAAGGAAGAGCGTCAGAGAAGAAATACGTGAAGGTTAAAAACAAGGTTTTTTAAAATTTTTAATCGAACAGAAAACAATTTGTTCAAACCCCTTGATCCTCCAGGGTGCCCTAAGGTTTTCCTCTGTGACATGTCGGGGAAGGGGATGTTTGGTCAACGCTGGTCTATTTCACTGCAGAGAAAATCAACTGATACAATGTGCTACACTACAGTTTATCCAAATTATTATTTCACTCAAAACAGGCTGTGATGTCACGATGGAGACAGGGCCAAGCTGGCTGTCAAAGCAAAGTACAGACACGTCTGTTTTGGTGTAACTATGGTGTGACTCACAATACCCAACTGCACTTAACAGAACGATAGGAAAGCAGCTTGGACAATCACTGATTCCTTTTTAAAGTGGCAAATTAGGATAAAAACATCAAATGGAGTTTCTACTTTTGAAATTGTAAATCTCGACTTTGAAATTACTCCAACTGCCACATCCAGTTAACAGAAGAGTGTGTTCTAGATACTGTAATCAGACGCAATACAAGGTAACAAATTAAAACATTCGAATTGCTTTATATATTTAAGAACAAAAACAAACGAACAGAAAAACTGTTTAGACCGAAACAGAAACATTCTCAATTTACTTACTATTTGAAAATGCTACAAAATGCATTTCTAGTTTCTAGTACAATATTTTTTGCCATATCCTAAGAGAATTTAAGATGTTCTATGAAATTATACATTTCATATAGGTTGGGTTCTTTTATATCTATATGCATCTTATTCCAAAATAATCTGAGGCTTTACTTTAAATTCGATATTATTTTAATTATATGCCATCGTAAGTGTACTAAGTCTTCATGTAATACAAAACATTTTTCCTATATGTATTTGATATATAACACTGAAACAAATACTAATAAGTTAAGAAATTTTTAGTATTAATTAGATTAATGTTTCTGTGTGTACTAGGACTGTGTTAACATTGTAATTTCAACACCCTCAAAAAT